TGTTCTCTTGACAAAACTCTATTAGCCTTTGCCCTGCTTCGTTTTGAACTCCAAGGCCAAACTTACCTGTTGTTCCTTTTATCTCTTGACTCCCTACTTTAGCATTCCAGGCCCCTATAATGAGAAGAACATCTTTCTGTGGTGTCAGTTCTAGAAGGTGTTGTAAGTCTTCATAGAATTGATCAATTTCAGCTTCTTCAGCATTGGTGGTTGGTGCATAAACTTGGATGACTGTGATGTTGAAATCTCTGCCTTGGATTCTTATTGAAATCATTCTGTCATTTTTGACATTGTATCCCAGTACAGCTTTTCCAACTCTTTGTTGACTACGAGGGATACGTCCTTTCTTCTACGAGATTCTTGCTCACAATAGTATATATGATAATCATCTGAATTGAATTTGCCCATTCCTGTCCATTTTAGTTCACTGATGCCCAGGATGTCAGTGTTTATTCTTGCCATCTCCTGTTTGACCACATCCAGTTTACCAAGCTTCATAGATCTTACATTCCAGGTCCCTATGCATTATTTTTCTTTTCAGCATCGGACTTTCCTTTCACTTTCAGGCACATCCGCAGCTCAGCGTCCTTTTGGCTTTAGCCCAACCACTTCATTAGCTCTGGAGCTACTTGTCCTCCGCTCTTCCTCAGTAGCATGTTGGACACCTTCCGACCTGAGGGTCCCATCTACCAGTGCCATATCTTTTAGCCTTTTGTTTCTGTCCATGTCGTTTTCTTGGCAACGATCCTAGAGAGTGGCTTGCCATTTCCTGCTCCAGGTGGATCGCATTTAGCCAGAACTATGACCTGTCCATCTTGGGTGTCCCTGCACTGCATAGCCCATAGTTTCTCTGAATTACTCAAGCCCCTTCGCCGCAACAAGGCAGCAATCCGTGAAGGGGTATCTGCTTTAGTAATAGACTAATGTCTTTTTTTTAATGGATTGGTTGTACTCTTGTTTTTAAATATAATTCTAGTATTGATTTCATTGACCATTTTTAATGTAATACTTGTTTAATTCTTTTTTAGTATTTGTATACTAATTGTTTTTAGCTTGTCAATATTGTCTTTTAATTGTTGTACGCCACCTTGGGTCCTTTTAAGGAGAAAGATGGGGTAAAAATATTTTAAATAAATAAATATAAATAAATACTACTACTACTAAACTTCAACTACTGGCTAGTTTTGCGGGTGGTGGATAGCAGAACAGCCCAGAGATTTATAGGCAAACAGTGATGATGTATAGAATTCTTGAGCTGTCTTCAGCTGAGATAGCAATACTAGCAGGGTACAGGAGTGCAGTCTGTGGTGGGACTGTGCCCGTTAAGAAGAAAATAGGCCAAAGAAATCACTGTGACATGGTGAGGAAGCATTGTCATCAACCATGTGCTGCCCTGACTCTGCTTTGTGGGTAGCAGAAGGGTCCCCAAAGACTAAAGGAAGGAAAACCTTTACAGAAAAGCACTGGCAACATCTGATCCAAAGCAGGTGGTCGCCAACAGTGTCTTGTCCCCAGGTTAGGAGTCACCAGTTTTAGTAACTGGCTGTGAATAATGAACAGCAACCTGCTTATGCACAGCATTTCAATATGGGCCTTGAGCCTCACAAGAGTGTTTCTTCTGGAGATGGGTCACAGGCAAAAAGTCAGCTACATTCTCCCTGTGAAACACCAGTTGCCATTGAGTGGGGATATATTAATACTATTGATGAAGGCAAATGCCATCAGGTAAGCTCAGATATGCAGCCTCCCACCTCCCCCCCCAACCTTGTGCTGGACCAAAGTGGCTCCAGAACAAGGACAAGGAATACTTAAGAAAACAATAGGGTGCAAAAATTGTTTTGTTTTTTTAAAAAAAGATAATGTGATGGTGCATCTGTTCTATAATGTTGATGCCTGACAAGATCTAGAAAAATCAGAATGGTGGCAAAAGCTACCTGCAGCTTATACAGATGTACAGATTATTTAAGTAAAACCATTTCCCAAAGGAATGCAGGTGTTCTTTCATCAATAATATGGCAGTAATCCCTGGGATATTTGGGAGTCCACCAAAAGGAGCACAGAAATAAAAGATGTTTGTAGAAAGTCAGAAAATGATTGAATAGCAACTTTGCAAAACTTGATGGAACCTCCCCAACCCACAGCCCTCTGCTCCTTAAAATAAATACTAACAAGCCTGTTTACAACATAATTTAAATCATATTGTGCCCAACTTTCTGTATGAAAAAAAATATATGATACAGTATTCCACTCCATTCACCTAGCAAGTTACTGCTGGCAGCCAACATTTCTGAATCATTACACGTTCCACTATGGTCATGGAACACAAAACTGAAGAAAGAAAGAAAAACCTTTAATAATAAACAGGCCTGATAAATAAGACTAAAATCTTTACTGTGCCCCATTGATACTCAGTGCTGGAGAGCTGCAGTGGTGTCTGGAGCATTGCAGAAAATTAAAATAGCTTCTGTTGCTATGCAGTCTTTTCTGGCTTTTCTTACTTGTTGCCATTGTGCACAGGATTTCAAGGTGATGGTGTAGTGTTCGTTGCATCCTATAGTTTTTGGCACTCAGAATGCTTCATTTTGCTGAAACACCATTTTTTCCTTAATAGATATCAGAGTCCTTGACTCCAATAATGCCTCTTCAGTATGTCTGTGCTCCAGACAGTGAGCATACACTCTTGGCAGCTCCTGCTCAGTTTCTCTTAGAGAAGTTCCTTCAACATGCTACATACAAACTATTCCCAAAGGCTATCCATAATTTCAAGAACCCCATTTTGGCAGTTGACTGCTATCTGAACATTGGACCTCAGGTAAGTATCTACAAGCCTTACATATAATATCAGTGTTTGTGTGTGCAAGCATGCTTGCATGTGTCTTGGGCTGGGGTGGGGAAAATGTTTGAGGTGTTAGTATTAGTTTATGATCTTATAGAACCAACATGCTATTTCTAATTGTTGTATGCGGGGTCCCATGAAACTTAAAATAAAAGCTACTGATAAATGTTCTTCCTCTACTCTTTTTTATTTTGCTATTTAGGTATGTTAATACCACCTTGGGCTCACTAAAGGAAATATGAGAGTCAAAAATTATTTATATATTACAGAGACAGATATATATATGTTACATCTCTCACACAATTCAGAGAGCCAAGGCAGCTTACAAAATGGGGGTTGGGGGGCAGGAAACATACGTAATTGAAAATATTTAAAATTCTTTGAAACATCTAACATTGAAAAATTATAACAAATTCAGAACAAAAACAGCAAGACAAGATAAATATATAAAAAAGTTTTAAGGAAGAAATCTCAGCACCATCTGTTTAAAAACTTCTGAAGTCCAGCTGGGAGGCAAAAACTTGACTGAAGGACTTTTGTCTGTTGGTGGAGGGACAGGACGTAGGCTCCCATGGAAGGGTCCTCTTGAAACTCCACAAAATGTGTCTGTGAAGTGATGGGATCAAGAGAATGTGTCTTCGAAAATCCTAAACTGGGGAGGCTCATATGGGGATACAAGGCCCTTCAGATGGCCTGGACCCAAACGGTATAGTGGTTCATAGGTCCTAACTAGCACTTTGAAATGAGTTCAGAAACAGACCAGTAGCCATTGGAGGTGATGTAATGGGAGTTATGTCTTCCCTGTAAACGACTGTGACTAACAGCCTAGCTGCAGAGTCTTGCACCAAGTGACATTTCCACTCTTCAAAGGCAGACCCATGTACAGCCTGAGACAGTAACCCAAGAAGGATGCAAGGCATGCTTACTCATAGATCAGACATCTTAAAGAACAGGTGCAAATGGAACACTAGCTTTAGCTGTGAAAACCCCTCCTGCCCACCTCTGGCACTTGGGCATCTGGGCACAGGGATGAATCCATCAGAATACCCAAATTGCAAATCTGCATTTTCAGGGCTGATTTTTTATTCCCTGATCTCTTTTCTGATTGACCAGGATCACCTCTGTCTTCCCTGGGTTATGCATCAGTTTGCTCATCCTCATCCATTTTGTTATTGACATCAGATATTAGTTTAGCCTCCTTCAAGCTAAATGGGAAAGAGAGGTAGAATTGGGTGATTGGATGCCACTGAAAGGCAAAACTCTGAACAACCTTTCCCTGTGGTGTTATGTATGCATTAAAAAGGTGGGGAGGAGAGGTGACTGAACCTTAAGGAACCCCACAGGCCAAAGTCAGGGACAGTGAACAGAAATTCTCTAATATTTTCTAAGAGTGCCCTTCCAGGAAAGCGTAAAGGTCTGCAAAACCTAAGCTCCCAGTCTGATCCCAGATAGACATTGAAGGATACCATACTGTACTGAAAGCCACTTAGAAGTCTTAACAAAATTATGAGGGATATACTCTTAACACAGATTATCCACCAGGACAGTGATTTCTATGCCATAACTACATCTGAAACAAGATTGAATAGGTGTAGATAATTTTTCTCAATGTAATGATGATGATGCATTTATTCCATTTTTTTCTAGTGCCTCCCTGCATGTTATTAAATAACAACTTTAAGAAGTTTTCCTGTGGCTTTTCTTAAGTTGACTTTTTATACTTTGGGGGCAATAACTTCAGTTTGTTCAGGAAATGTTTCCGTTCCTAGTGAGATTTGAAGAATGCTTGGAGTTCCCACTACTGGTGTAGTGATGACCTGTCTGTTTAGTTTAGAACATAAACTTTTCAAGAAATATTTGGCTGTATATAACTTTTGCCCTCTCTTCTGATTCAGGTAGCTCTTTGCTATGTCAGTTCACGGCCTCATTCTGTTAATGTCAACTGTGAAGGCGTGCTTTTCAGTGGACTTCTCTTGTATCTTTGTGACTCATTCGTAGGAGCAGATTTTCTGAAGAAGTTCAAGTTCCTGAAAGGTAATGTAATTTCTGTTGGTTTCTTAGTACAGCAGGTTAGGCTTCATTGGCACTATATACAAAATACCATTTCATTAAAAAGCAGCTGTCACAGTGCTGTGGAAGGTGACCTACACGTCCTATTTCCTCAGGGCACTTTCAAGCTGCAAGCCATGATAACTGGTACCTTAAAGCTGGTAGCAGGTGCTATACAGAGGCTTTGCAAACCAGAGCCATCCAGATAGTAGCACCTATACATCTTAGGCACAGCCATCTCTTTCTTGGCTGTATGTTAAATGTTCCTTAATAACAAGGTAGTAACTAGGTTGTGTAGTTATAAATAAGGGTGGATAAAGTGTTGTATTGCCCCATACTTTCTGAATGCATGATTTAAAGAGGGGCTTTCTGTATGGAATATAGAATGCATAACACAAGGGAAAATATTGCCTTTTTGTTTCCTTGAGCTGACACAATATATTTTTTCCATGCTGTATTACTATTTAAAGCAGGCATGTCCAACCTGCAGCCCGAGGGCCGCATGCAGCCCAGGTCAGCTTGTAATGCGGCCCAGTGCAATTTTTTATTTTTAAAGAAATTCCAAAGTTTCAAGTTACACTACCGGCGATTGCGGCCAGAATGTGGCTGGGGCATGTCACAACAGTAGAGGGGCAGAGAGGGAAGGAAGGAAAGAGTGTGAGGGGAGGGGACAGGGGGGCTGTGTGATTGCATTGTGCCGTCCCCGTCAATAGGTGGACCACCTCCCGGCCCCATAAAGCTGCCAGAGTCGAAGCTGGCAGCCTCTGCTGTCTGAGATCGCAGCTGCCGGTAAGCGTGCTTGGAGTGGGGCTGCGGAGGACGGCTAGGGCTGCCCCCCATGCGGCCCAAACCAAATTTTCATCTTCTAATGTGGCCCAGGGAAGGTGAAAGGTTGGACACCCCTGATTTAAAGCTTGGAATTTCATTATGGTTGCAGCTGGAAAAGCAAGTGCACACTGTTCAGGCTTTACTGTGTCTTACCCTCTGATGATAGACAGATTTGGGTTCTCTGGGATCTCTTGCGGGTCTACAGATCTAAGTAATTCATATTGTTATCAGTGATCTGACTCATCTTTGGCAGCCTACTATGTTTTTGAGATTACCGGGAAAGAGGGGCTCTACCTTACACACCAAACATGGAAGCCCCAGTTTCAGAACGAGAGAGTGACAAAGCAGTGGCAGAAAACAAGGGTCGCCCCACTGATTGCAGCATGCCAGCCACCAACAGTTTAGCCATGGGGGAATGTCTGGTCCTAACAACAAAAGATCCCCGGTCTGTCATGAGCCATCCTCTGATATGATGTGCCCTTCCTCCCATCAGTATGCATAGACTGGTTTCCACAGAAGGAAAAAAAAACATGGAAACTGTTTTCTGAAGGATGGTAATGGAAATCTGGTCTCAGCAGCTTTTCAGATGTGAAGTGCTACATACAAAATAATGTGAATCTGGAGAAATCCAGTTTTTATATTCAGGAGAAACCCAGAAGTTATATTCAGTTGCAATAGGAGTAATAATTACTTTCCTAAACCTTTGGTAATATTTCCAAAATGCAGAAAGAAATCTCAGAAAATAAATTACCTGGAAGTTGAACATTAATATAAACTGAATTTTATTTTTTAACCCAAGGTGCAACTCTCTGTGTGATCTGCCAAGATAGGAGCTCCTTGCGTCAAACTATAGTTCGTTTAGAGCTGGAAGATGCGTGGCAGTTTCGTCTGAGAGATGAATTTCAAACTGCTAACAGTAGTGAAGATAAGCCCCTGTATTTTCTTACCGGACGTCATATATAAGCTTGAGAAAATATGAAAGGAAAAGAACTAGCAAGACTGGTCATGTTTTTTCCCCTTCTTTTCATTTAAAGTACAATCACTGTGGAGTAAAGTGCAACCAATACCTGCGTTCACTACGCAAAGGATATCCCAAATTTCTAGCTCAGTCCCTACATGCTTATCTGTTCTGCGACTGAAGGAGTATTGACTCAAGTTAATTCTTTACGGGTCACCATTGCAGAAGCTAAGGTAATGCCATCCCTGCTGTGACCCTGGATATGGAGAACAGCATTTTAGTAGGTGTTCACTTAATCCCTTTTGTGCTACGCTAAAGAGGGGAAATTAAATTGACTTTCAGCCTCTGACAACTTGAAAGTGTTACACAAGATTTACACAAAGAACGTGGAATCATTTGAAGATAATATGTTGAGGAACGCGGTCTGTTTCTCTTCATATCTGTACTTTTGGTACGGTATACTCAGGGGTTTGAAACTGCAAAGTAACATAGATATTTGTGTTTAAAAGAGTAATCTTTGTTCACTTTCTGTGCAGTGTTAGCTTAAGGTTTGTAATTTTATATGTATTGGAACAGTTCTGGCAAAATTTCCACAAATTTTAAAAGTTTACTACATAAGCCTGAACAAACCAATGAATGTATGGCAGGCATTGTATGCAGATGCAAGTTTGTTTGACAACTGTTATTCCACTCTTCGGGGTACCTGTTGGTGTGAATCCAGGGATTTAGACATTGACAGAGGAGATCACCTCAACAGGACATAATTTTCCCCTCCCCTCACCCCAGCAGTTATGTATGGAAGAGGATCCAGAAAGATAAGCTGCATGCAGAAACATGTTTCTGCACATGGATCATCCTTGATTGTAGTTTGAAAAGCATCTGGTCAGCCAGCTCAAGTGTATGCATATTGTCTGCTCAGTGCAACAAAACTACATGAAAGTTACTTCTGTCCTTAGCGCTCTCTGATATTATTTCAAAATGACTAAGCAACTTGTAGCTCTCTTCCTGTCCATCCCTTCCCCCTTTGTTTTCCCATGGTCATCTTACTTGCTTGAACTTTCTGTAGTCCTTGGGAGGAAGAAGGCTGGTTTTATTCTTTTACCTGGAATATTTTGAGCAGAGATTGGACTCAATGGCCTTAAGACTCCCCCTTCCACCTTCATTTTTCTATGATATATAATTCCACAAATAATAAACAGTCAATTAAACAGTAATAATGGGTTCAATACATCATGACATAGTTATGGCTGAAGCAAGCCAGAAGCTAAAAAATCACTTTCAACTGAGCTGGGACCAACAACAGAAACTGTGTTCTCTTAAATAAAGGTCTTAAAACACACTTGGAAATGTTGGCCAGTATATTGTGAATACTTAGGACTACAATCCTATTGAGGGAATGCTGAAAGGAGGGGCACTCTCATAAGCATCCTGTCCAGGAGATTGCCTCCACACACCTAATCTTACACTGGCTGTGAGGTTAGTCACACGTCAGAGGGTGCAAGCCATAGTGTACTTGCCCTTACGTGCTCAGTCTTTCTCAGAAGGCTTCTGGCCTTAAGCTGGATCTGTGTGCAGAGTGGGCTCTTAATAGCTTCTTTCAACAAGGTAGCCTTGTTAGTCTCTTTTAGCATGCATATGGAAACAAACAAACAAACAGAAGTCTTCTAGATAAATGACAGACTAGCACATGTATTTTAGTGTGATATTCTGTGGATTACCACCCATTTCTACAGACATGTGGAGTATAATACTTAGGTCACAGTATCATTCCTCTTGTAATCTTACAGTGGGAAGTCTGTGCCTACAGACAGCACCCCTCCCCAAGTTTACAAATTACTCACCCACAACATAGATACAGAGGAACAAGAGCCTGATATAAACCTAGGCCCCAGCCATGTCACCAACAGCAAATAGGGCCTATGTACATATTCAGTTTCTAATGTGTTATGTATCAGGAGCCTTATGGTGCTGTGGTTAAACTGGAGTACTGCAGCCAAGACTCTGCTCATGATTTGAAATACTGTACATCTCATGTAGCCAGCTGAAGGCTGTCTCAACCTTTGATTCATCTGAACTCAATAAATTGAGTACCCAACTTGCTGGGTGAAGCGGGGGCAATGTGTAGCCTGCATAATTCATTGTAAACTGCCCAGAGAGTGCCTTAAAGCACTATGGGGTGGTTTATAAGCAACACACTTTTCTTTACAGCCAGCAGTGCCCCTCTGCATTTTACGTAGAGCAGATAGGACATTCTCTGTACAAAATAAAAGGCCATAAACCTGACATCAGAAATGGTAATATACAGAAGTCAATGCTAAAACACTTCAACTTTTCAAACAAAAAAGGATTTTATCTCAAAATTTTAAAAAAGATTAACATTTAAATTGGATTTTTTTGATTTGTTAAAGTGTTTTTTAAAAAAAGCTCTGTAATGATAATTTTAATTTAAAATGTATTGGACTTCCATGGAATCCTTATGGAATAAAGATGTAAATTCTGATTCTATATTATGAGACAAAGTATTCATATATATACTTTAAAACTTTCTTAAATACCGTGTTTTCCCGAAAATAAGATTATATTAATTTTTGCTCCAAAAAACGTATTAGGACTTATTTTCAGGGGATGTTTTATTTTCTTCATGTACAACAATTTATATTTATTCAAATACAGTAATGTCATCATCATCTGGTTGCTTCACAATGGTGGAGGATGGGGTTTCACTTAACTAGGGCTTATTTTGGGGGCAGGACGTATATTACGAGCATCTTGAAAAATCACACTAGGGCTTATTGTCAGGTTAGGTCTTATTTTCGGGGAAATGGGGTAGGCCCAACAATTCTTGTAATGGGACGTCAAATTTATGGTGTTCCACAGGGGTCTGAACGTATAGTTTAGTGTAACCTTTCTGTCTTACCTAATAGTCTAGTAGATAACCTCAGAAAAATCTGTGATATTCAAATTGGCTTTATGTCTAGAGGCACATAACTGTTAACAGCATTATATGCCAGTAAGAAATTACAGACCTGGCTAGCCCTGGTCATATATAATTTTGTGGCCTAAATATTGCACTCCATGGATCTGAAGAAATGGATTATGGTTGTATGGTATGTCTAGATTAGGTAAACCTCCCCGAGTAGTGATTTCACTAAATCAGATGGTTTATAAGCTTTATAAATAAAATAAGTAAATATTATAATCCATAAAAGCTCACGTTACATTAAATCTCTTAGTCTGAAGGTGCCACAAATCTTTTTTGTTTTGTTTTGTGTATATACGGACACATACAGTCAACACCTACAGTCATAGCAGGGAGACATCTCTGCTCCAACCATGATCTGCTTCTGTGTATAGTTTGCTCTGTGCACCCAACAAAAGTACATCTGTAGGCAGCATGAAGGAGCAAAAATAAATCTAAGGTCAGTGAGCACTTCGGACATTACTATGTGACCTGGCATCTCTGTTATGTCAAACTATCAATGCTGCAGTGGGAAAACTTGAATGGCAGAAAGAAGGAGAATGTGAAGTATGTGACAGCCTCCTTCCTCTGCAGTAGTCACCCAAGCAAGCGTCCTGCATATATGCTTATCTCAGTGGCTGAAATGAGGGAAACAAACATCTACTGAGCCCAGGAGAACTCTTTCACATGCAAGCACAGCATACCATGCTTTTTGTTTATTTGAATTAGAGAGGCGTGTTCAAATGATTTTAAATAGGGAGTGAATTGTTTTAGAATGAACATTTTGCACCAGTTCTTTATGTTGTGAAATATGCTGAGAGTGTAAGTCTAGTACAATCGGATCTTCATACTGCAGTAAACACTGATATAGTATAATTCACTCCCCCTTTGCTGCTCATCACCAGATTTTTTCCTACCATATTTCACTTTTAAAGCTTATTACATTAATAGTTCTTCTTTTACACGTTTGTACACTTTCTCCTGTCACAAAATATTTTAAAAGAACAGCCTGTTTTAGAAGATGATTAAAATAATACGCATTGGGTATTATGATTTAAACACAAACCGTGTACCTGCAACAAAATTAAGAAGCATCTGCTAAAACTGCATTAGAACAAAATGTCAATTCATGTAACATTTTTACCTTGGGAAAGAGCTGCTTACAAATAATGGAAAACATAATATATTGATGGAAGTTGGAAAAAGATAACAATAGTTTCCCAACCTATTAGTTTCATTATAGCTTTACATACTAGTAGCAAATTTCAAGAAAACAATCAATATAGATTATTTTGAATTGCTTGTACCCATACAAAATCTGCCTTACATTTCAATTTCCATCTTTAAATGTCAGAGGTAGATGCTCATTTAAAAGCTACAATTAGCTACACTGTAAAGCTGATATATTTACTATGCAGATTATGATTTGGCATGATGAATACAGATAGTCTAGGGATAACACTATGTTTAACATTCTGGTTTAATACCTGCATAACATTAATTTGTGAGTTTCCCAAATTGTTGCCATTTTATTGCAAATTTTGCAAATATAAAGTTTTCAAACTTTTCTTTGTATATTTGATATTTTGCACTAAATTCTTAAAATACCAGGTGCTGAGAATTACATACTTAGACCCTTGGTAAAGAGGTACAAAATTATATGTAATCTAAGACTTGAAGACTGAGGGTCTTTTCACACAGTGGGGGGATCTGGGGCCATGTGTGTGGGAGAATTTGTGTCCAGATATTGAAGTTCCTGAGCAAGCACTATATATTCTGTAACAAGATTTTTGTTTTGTTTAGAAAGTACTTAGAAAAAAATGTACTTTTTTCTTGAGACTTTTCCTTACTTGATGTACCACTTTGTAGACATGGTTTTTGTTAAAAAATTTAACAGTGCACTCCTTGTTGGGAAGCTTGTGAAGGAATACAACTTTTTAAAAATCATTCTTGGACACATTATGACTAAAATGTTTTGTGTGGTTGTGTGAAAAGATCCTAAATACTGTCTTGTTATTCGATAAGGACAACTGGTTATTCAAAACAATGTCACTAAAGCACAGCGAGCTGAAACCTCTTTTCAAAATGTCCTCATAAATTTTCATGTACCACAATACAAGCTCTTGTGATGATCTATGGGACTGATAAGAACAAATTACCAAAGGCTACCACATTGTTGTTCTGGTTACCAACCTTGCCAATAAAAGAGTGACATGAATGGATTCAATAGGCCAGCATTACTTTACCTGTAGACCTGTTAAAACAAATGGATGATAGGTCACAGGTTATACTGAATGTAATTTGTAATTCTGAATAAATCACTCAGATATTTCTATAATTTATGCAGTTGCTTTGTGCAATCTCTGAAAAGGGATTAAATGTTGCTTTCTCAGGACTGCTTCACATTTGACCAATTTCCTACACTGGTAACTCTGGTTAAGAGGAACTTAACCATCTGATAACAACAGCCCAAATCCAAGGGAAACGACTTCTCCCATCCTCACAGCTGCCTCTGTGCAGCCCCAAAGAACCTGCTCTGCAAGGCTGTGGAACCCCCTCCAGCCAGCCTTCAGGTGGAATTGAGGGTGCAGAAGTAGGGGAGAAAGTTGTATCACGCTGGCACTGCAGTGATGGTGCAGCATCAGATTTAAGCCACTGTGTTACATGTGAAATGAGCTACAACTTTTATATGTAACTAGACAAACATTTTCAACCTTTGTATATGTTGACCTAGCCACTGCTCATTTCCTTGCCTACCACACCCCCTTATGTAGGAAGCTCATCAGATTTGAAGCAGCCCTTGGTGTAAATTCTCTTAACCAAAACTTGGTGAATTTAGCTTCACTAGTCAGTCTACCTCAAATTTTATTGTTTGAACTGAAGTTCTCTGCTCTTGTGGCTATAGTATGTTTATAATGTTCTTTCATTAAATTCAGTGAATGTTGTATTACCATAAAAGAGTCTGTCCTTCTTTTTAACACTGTGCAAAGTATTTCTATAGTGAACCTAGGCTTGGTGAAACAGCAGTACTTTTTAAAACTTCCTTCTCCATTACTACACCCAGTTCTAAGTGTTTCTTCTAAACTATCAGCATATACTTTCAATTTTTTAAAGGTAAGTGGTTTGTTCTACAGTTTGATCTGGTTGCTAGTTGCACAGAGTCACTATGCTGTCCCACAGTGCTAGCCAACAAAGCACAATTGATTACTGATTCAAAACCTCGAACTACACTGGCCTATTATTACATAGTACTGGTTGTCCAAAAACAGTGGCATGATTCTGGAGAATAAACAGTATAATCTTCATTACTATGTTAAAAGAGACTCATTACTATATTAAAAGACTTAGATTTCACCATCTAATGCTTTTTTTCCACTTCGTTCACATAGGAGAATCTAATACTGAAAAGTGGCAACTTCTGTACTTGGTTTTCTTATCTCATGGTTACAGAACTGAGGCATAAAAATATCAGGAATGGAGAATATATTAGCCCCCAAATATTGCTAAACTGTGACTCCTATAAGGCCTAGCCAGCGTAGCCATAATAAGGAGTGATCAGAATTGAAGTCAAACAAGATCTGAAAGTTCCCACCTTGTCTTAGAGATAGGCCTCCCTCAGTCTAAAAGTATACTTCACTTGCCATGGCAGGCACCCAATGAAAACAGCAACTGCCACAGCTGTTTCAGGAGCAAGCCCGTCTTTGAGTTACTTATTCACCCAATTTCCTTACAAGATCATCTTCAGGTAAGTTTAAAGGTAAGAGTTACATTGCTAGATTAACAGTTCACATAGCAAAAAAATTAAAAAATAAGTACATATAAATACCGTATCAGAAGCCTAATGCCTCAGTAGCAGAAGTGCAATAGTGGTGCTAGATGCCCATGCGTTCCTGAAGGGCATTTCCATGTGCAATTGTTGTTGCTACTTGTGCCATCAAGTCACCGCCATATGATGCCCCAATGAAAAAGTGACCGCGGAAATGTCCTATCATTCATCACTCTGGATCAGCTTTTGTGAACTCGAGGCCATGGCTTCCTTTAGTGAGTCAGTCCATCTTGTACTTGGTCTTTTTCTTTACATGATTTCTAATTATTCCAGATTTTTTTTTTTACAGTAAGCACATAGAGAAGAGAATATATGCTTCAGCTCTAACACCATGTTTTGTTAGAAAAGGTTTGAAAAGGAGCTGTAACTAGGTCTGGATATTCTGCCTTATTATGACCACCTGCCACAAGGACTGTGTACAGTTCTTCAGACTTAGGCCCTGGCTGGAACCAGAATGTTGAGCTACACCTATCCCCAATCTGTTTCAGCAAAGTTTATCTTAGAACAAATGATACTGAGAACTTGAAATCTTACGCCTTAAAAGCATACATATTACATTTGATTTCCCCCTCTTCTTGACAGAAGAATCAGACTAGTGTTTCAATTAGTTTTTAATATTCAACCATATCAAAGGAACTGCTTAAATGCATTTATTAGTACATTATTTAAAAATTATCAAATACTTTAGTTTTAATCTACAATTTTATACAGGTCAAGAAAGGCCACAGCATTTTATCAACATATGCCCTCTCTGAAACTGGAGAGATTTATGTTTTAAGTATCATAGTGAAGTCCACAAATGAAGGTATATATCCAGTATGCTATTGTTGAAGGTATCAGGGGCATCTTTCCTCCATAGTCTAGTCTGAGGCTCTACTTTTTAAACATCTCCCAAATATATACTGAAACAACATGCCATGCTGTTGTAGCCCATCTTTTATTGCTGTTTCTATAAATTATTGAGCATGCAGTGCTTTCACTACCTTAGTAAAGACAAGATACAAGCAGTCAAGAGTAATTCTCATTGCTCTGGTATATACCTATTTTGTGAACTTCAAGAGGTACTTAAAAGGTGACCACATTTCTTGAACTAGTTGACAGTCCACTATGAACAATTTTATATGCTGCATGTAAACATGACTAAGTTACTATGGATAATACATACAGTTTTCATAAAAATATATTTTAAAAAATTACCCTACTTCTGTACTGTTTACAGTTTTAATAAAATACAGCAACCTTTTGGTTGTTACTACTCCTGAGTTTACTGCTATTAAGTGTTCCGTTCCCTTGGTCAGCATCTGCAACTGGCCAACAGATTTTAACAATTTCTTTTTACCTTTTGCTATAAAAGTATTTACTTCAAGCAGGTTGTTGTCCACTGATAAAGTTGTATACCAGGAACTGACTAGTACCAAAGTACTGTGTTGCAAACAGTTTTCCGTCAGGAGTAGGATCAGAAAAAGCAATTTCTTCTTTACTCAGATATGAGCCATATATAAAGTTGCTCCTGTTTAAAATATATTTTAAAAAAATAATAATGGTGGAAACAGAATTCCATTTAATATTATCAATAATACTAACATGCTAATGAAGGCATGCTTAGACAAATACCAAGTATGGAAATACTACTACATTATGCCTTTCAATAACACTCAGAAAGCAATTAACCAGTTCCTCCTTTTGCCCACCTTCCCACATTCTCAGCTGGCATACAATTTCTGAAAAATGAATATTTGGTATATGGATTCTACTAATAATAGCTAGGATACAGATGACTTCCAAACAGCAATAAGACTAATAAAAATATACTGCACTTGATGGTGGCTACTTTAAATATATTTTTGGAAAGTTTGCTTATTCTAAACGAACATCTTAATATCTGAAATATTCTGAATACCCAACAACAGGAGTTCCCAACCTTGGGTCCACAGTCCACAGATGTTCTTGGACTACAACTCCCAGAAATCCTGGCTAGAATAGCTAGTGGTGAAGGATTCTGGGAGGTTTAGTCCAAAAACATGGTGATCCAATGCTGGAAACCACTGCCCTACAATATTATACAAATACTGTACGTTTATTTCTGAAAAACAATCATGTGGCTTAAGACTTAGCACGGTTCATGACAATATAGGCACAAATCTACTTACCTCAGGCATTCCAACATCCGAGAAGCAATTTTCTTCCGTCGCATTAAGTTGAACACCCAAATGCGACTAATGCCACAGATGGCTGGCTCAGGCGACGTTGAGCAGCACCAAGCCTTTTGCCTTTCAAAGGTGAGTTTTTCATTTTCTGTACTAACCTCTGGAATCTTTTCCTCAATAACTCTATACCCCTACAAATATAAAGTTAACATTCTTTGTCACTGCCAGGTGCATACAAACTGCTGATACAAGATGAAATTTACCACAGCTGTTTTAATGTTTACCTTAGAATGCTGAATCTATGTACGATCCCGACTTTGCAGTTTGATTCCCACAAACAGAATGCAAAAATAAAGAACCTGCTAGCTCACACCAATTTATGTACCTACTGTCCTGCATCAGCTGTCTTCCATGCCTCCCAGTGAGTGTGCATCCTCTGAACAAAGTATTATCTCTCTTTCAATATACAAACATTTGTCCTGCAGTGTTCTTTGTGATAACTGCATGGATATTGCAAAAACAAATTGAGCCAAACCACTGGCTTTGCTGAGAAACAAGCAGACTCCTTCTCAATATGAATTGTTCCCATTACAGCTGGCCATTACAAGAATGATAATACCCCCCTATAAAGTCAGTTCCAAATTTTGCTCTCCCACCATTCTTTCCCCATCCCCTGGCTCAAGTTATTTATATTGCAATTCCAGTTTATTTTGATTTATTTTATTTTATTTATTCCATTTATACCCCCCTATCTGGTCAATTGCGACCACTCTAATTGTACACAAACTAGTTGAAGAATGAAATAGAATTCTTCATGTAACAAATGTCTAATGAATAAATGTGATATAAACTTTGCAGAGAAAAACAGTTGTACAAAATTAAAAAGAGAGTTGTTCTGAAAAGAGCTTTACTCACCCACTGGATATGCTCTGCAATTAAGCAGCCAGTTACTTTTTTATCATTAGAAATAAACAGAAGAGTCTTTGTTCTAGAGCATGTGAGAGGAGCTTGCTGAAATCCCAGATCGTTATCTACCATCTCTCTGATCTCATCAACCTGCCAAAATAACATAACACAATAATATAATACATGCAAAAGTAACATAACACAATAATATAATACATGCAAATATATTTTTGTATGTTCCAGGACTACTGAGGTATATAGAAAAAGATAATATACAACTGACAGCAGGACATACATAATCCTCTAGATGTTTTTAGATTTCACATCCCAACATTCCTCACAAATGGCTATGCTCATTACAACTGTGGTTGAACTCTGTAGGGAGCATACAATCCAAACCCTGCTATCATCCCTCAAAGTTATATTCCCCCACCATCTTAGCGTGCATGCATACAGACACCGTGTCATGTGCATTTTCCCTTACTTCAAGTCACTCTAATCATCTCAGTCAAAGAAAGCTACACTGGGCAACATTTATTTATTTGATTTCTATCCCACCCATCTAGACCAAAGGTCTACTCTGGGTGGTTTTACTCTAGGCTGTTTTCCAAATATTATAAATGCTCAGAGCACCGTCATCTTCCATAAATCTACTTCTGACTCAGATCTTTTCTGCAAGCCCTAACAGTGGTGTTCTTCCATGCATAACCAAACATTCCACTCAAAGTGAGTTTTTGTGCTTTTTATTCAGGAAGAAGATTTCACTTCAGAATTGAATAACTACATTATTTTCTTGAAATAAACAATTCGCATTTTTGGGATAGGTGATCTGTTAGGATAGTAACTTATATTCCCAATCGGGTGCCATTTACTTCTATTCAGCAACAGACTCTATCCTGGCACTGTGGTAAACCACACCATTTTCTGAAGTAACTTGATTATTCATTCATACCTACTGGCTCCACATCACTTCATATGATAGATCTATCAGGCTAACGAGGGCCAAATTCTTTAAGATTCTTAAATTTTTGAAAAAGTACATACAACTGGCATCTCTATGAATCCAAAACTGTTCTGCAATTTTTCTAACTGAAATACCTTTAAAGTAATGGGGTGCTGTGAAAATACAGTATTATTAATAATGGAACTTTTTTGATTGCACCCTGATCGTGATGATATGACAGACTCCGCATTTAAAAATAGCAACTGATTCTTACCTAAAATTAAAGGCTGCCAAGCTAATATAAATAGGAGCCTTGTGGTGCAGTGGTTAAACTGTTGTACTGTAGCCAAATGTCTGCTCACAACCTGGGGTTCTATCCCAGGTAGCAGGCTCAAGGTTCACTCAACCTTCTATCCTTCTTTCTGAGGTCAGTACATTGAGTGCCCAGCTCACTGGGGGGAGGGGGCAATGTGTAGCCTGCAATATTAAATTGTAAACCACCCAGAGAGTGCTTTAATCACTATGGGGCGGTATGTAAGCAGCACACTTTGCTTTATTGAGCCAATTTAGAAATATTTACTTCCTTATAAGGAAAAGCAAGAACACAGATTTCTTTTAAAGCCTGACTTACCTTTCTCAGTGCATATTTTGGATCATCAGGAAGTACCATTATTATCTTGCCATCCGGATACTCAGCCAAAATTCTTTCTTTCTTCCAACCCTAGAAAATAAACAAATAAAAATTCAACTAAACACATGTTTTTATACTGCCTAGATTTCCTTGTAATGCTTTGCAGAATCATCTCTTTCCTTAGTGAACTAACATCCTGACTGAGCTGTTTCACTTCTGATATGAATAGCCACACAGTAGCCTATACAAAACAGAACAATCAACACCAAACTATTCATGAAACTTTTATAATGCAGAACACCCTCCTTTTCCCCTTCCTGAACAATACAAAACAGTTTAGGACTGGCAAACAAATTATGTTAACTGAGCCAGTTCCGCAAAACAGCAGAGAGCAAGGGCATATAGTTAACAGAAATATGTAGAGTTTTTCTTTTTAAAATACAGTGTTTCTTTAACATAGTTACCTCCACAAATATAACGTATACATTTTTTTAACATCCTAGCATGCAAAAGACCTCCAGAAGGTTTTCAGTGAACTGAATGGCATGCAATGGTTCAAAATAAGGAATCATTATCCTCTCAGTGGTTATAACTATCATAGTCACAAAAGTGAGACTATAAAAAGTATAACTACCTTCTAAGAACCTAAAGGGGAATGTTGCTATGCTGTGTGTATCTGAAGTGAAACATACTCAAAAATGAGGTAATTAACTCTTCTTCAGATCCACACTGTTGGTGATTAATGAGCAGAACCTGCATGGAAAAACAAAACAAAAAGCCACTTAAGTCTATTATGATGGGACTAGTAAAGTAATCAGAATTTATGCTGTTCAGAAAGGATGCCCAAAGTATGAATTATAGAAGGGTTTAAAGTAAAGTATATTTTACTGAACTAATTAATGTGCAAGGCTTACCTATGCTTGATACATGAAATACCTTGACAGTGTGGGGCGGAAGGAAGCTATCTGGAAAAGACTGAATCTTACATTTAAATCATGTCTGAAAATGTTCATCTCAAACTTATATTTTCAGTGCTAATAATAGTTTAGCTTACTTTCAAGAAATTATACTCAACCAGCTATCACTCACTCCTATCAGATGAAAACTCTTTTAGATACCACCCCCAGCAGAGTTACATATTTCTTCAGTGTATTTCTGTCCCAATTCAATCCAAAATACAGTTTAATTTACTTTCAGAAATCTGTAAAAATGTCATCCTTCAAAATCTACTGTTATGCATTCTGGTCTCAATTGTTGGATTTAGTTCCACTCTAATAATAATAATATAGACACCACAAAATGAGACAGAATTTGCAAAGAGTTAAAGTATTTCCATGTCCACCTCTACCATTACCCAACACAAAGGCAGATGCTCAGAAGCAGGAAAGCAGCAACAAGGTACTTCAAGTCAGAGCTCAGTGTGACATATGACTGTGTGCATTCTGCCTCTTCAGCTAGCCTTCAGTCCTCACATAGATTAAAGAATCCCAGTACAGTACTGAAGATTCCACTGCCAGTCTAACTAGATATCTGCAGATGCATTAGGGGTACTATGTTATTAAGTCTCACATATCAAAATGCCTTGAGCCAGCCCCTACTCCCTGTAATGTGCTATACATGAGGCTGCCACTGAAGACAATTCATAAATTATGGCTAGATCAGAATATGGGTGCTGGACTACTTCCACAGAGTGGGCATTTTAGAACTTATAAAACCAGGACTTCACCAATTTCACTAGCTTCTAGTCTATTTCCAGGTACTTTCAAAATGTTGGTCTGGACCTTTAAAGCCTTAAAGTTTGTTTGTCCTCATCCAGACCATTACTGATGCCAAGCTCTTGTTTAGAGTCAAGACAGCTTTCCTGGAATTGGGTGGAAGGAATTGAGTGCCATCCTCATACTGGTGACACTGAACCCCAGAACTCTGGACAACCTCTCCCAACAGTTTCATGTAGATGTTAAAAAGCATGGGTGACAAAGCAAAACCCTGAGGAACACCACAGGCCAATGGCCAGGGTGTTGAGCAAGAGTCACCCAGCCCCACCTTCTGAGTTCTCCCCTACAAGAAGGACTGGAGCCACTGTAAAATGGGTACATAGGCTTTGGCATTCTCTTTCCCCAGAGAGGATCACTGTGATCTACTTCTGGCACCAGATAAAGATCTTTTATTTCCAATGCTTTTTGAAATTTTAACTTCTGTTGACCTGTTTTACTTAGACCTGCTTTAGTCTGTATCATCTTTAGTTATTTATGGTGTTCTAACTGTAAGCCAAACTGATCATTTCAGAGGAACACATGTCTAAATAATTCGAACTAAACAAATTGGACTACAACACTGCAATCCTATGCACACCAATTTGAAATGAGGCTTGCTGAAGTCAGCAGGATTTCCTTTGAGAAAAAATATGTGCAGACAGGAATGCAAAAACTGGATTAAGGATATAAGAACAGCTCCTGAGTTCAAATTATTATTTACAACATGGGTTATACATAAATTTATCTCATGCGGACAATCCAGTCAGATCTGCAGAAATACATCTGCAGTTCATTTATGAGGTTTTCACAGTCCAGTACTAGCAGGAAACAAGCAATGTGATTAAATAAAGCGCCTAGATTCTGTTTCTGATGGAATACCAACACACTATCCAATAAAAAAACTTGTATTCAAGACAGCCTGCCAGGCTTTACTTAAAAAATAAGCAGCATGCCTAACAAAAATGACAAGGGAACCACTGTAAGAACATACTCAATTAAGACATCACTGGATCAGAAGGAATACAGTGATCATTTTTCACCAAGGGAAGCTGAAGCTTCCATTCCAAGCTGCAAGCAATTCACTCATCCAGGTATCTTCAACACCCTAGCTCCAACCCTGTATTCTCTAAAGCTCTTATGTTGTTCCACTCTCTGGATTTCTCTGTACAAATGCTTTATAAATACAATATAGAAAGTATAAGTAACTATAGTTTGTGTAAATACTGAATGGTTTACAAAACCATCAATATGAAAGCAAACCTGGAACAGATTTTTCTGTCTATCAGTACATTCCAAGCTAGATTTGAACCAAAGATTGACTTTGTTTGACACACAAATTAAACAGCTTGGCAAGTTCAGTTCAGTTATCCTGGAGGTCTTATCAATCTCAAAGAAGAGTATGGAAGGTAACATATATGATAAAGAAAACAAACTTCACTAGCTACACTTATTGCTACACATATAAAGTTCCAATGGACATCCAGGAAAAGTTACTCTTCTGGACTATAGCTCCCAGAATCCCCCCACCTGGCCATAGTTGTTGGGGAATCCCTGGACACTATAAAAACTTTTCCAATCTTTCTTTTAGGGACATATTTTCATATGTCCAATCACAGCTTTGTATGGTGGATAAAATTAATATCAGTCTTCACAAAACTTAATGCTTTCCATTAGCCATATGAAATGCAAATACCCCATCTCATTTTTACATATTTTATATATACACAAGGCAAACCATAATCAAAATGTACTCATACTATGATACTGCATAAAGAAACTAGCTTGATCTGGCTTGGTCAGCTCTTCAGTGCTAGATAATATAATATTGCTTCATAGCAATAAGTAGTAAAAAATTGCTTGGAAAATGAGTCTAGGAAACAGCCCAGCATGGAAAATTAGTCCATGACTGACAACAATAAAAACATTAGACATTTGCCTACAATACCTGTAGTGTTTAAAAACAGTAGTAGGCAGAACTATGGTTAATATCGCAAAAGTGCCAACTCAGTGTCTCAAAGTAATTGAGTCTTCTTACCACATATTTTACAGCACTTATAAACTGGTTGTGAAAGAGGAGATGCTGAGTTTCATCCTCGGGATTTGCAGCAGTGTAAAACATCCCACAAACATTGCAGGAAATGGCTCCAAATCTTTTTTGCCCTGCATCCTACATTAAAAAACAAATATATTGGTCAAGCAAGAGTAATGCTCAGTATAAAACAAGCTATTAACGACAGAGATGGTCCATGAAAACAAAATCTTGAGATATCTTGCTAAACAGTTTCAGGCATCCTGCTGTAAGAAAGAACAATAGTGCTGTTTCCTTACTTGTTATTATCAGTGATAATGACCAAGAACAACATTTAAAGGCTTCTGCAGAAATACAAATACTGTAGATAGATCACAAGGTAGCAGCTTCGGCATGGTCCAAAAATCAGATAAATGCAAGGTCTTCCTTACCAATTTACAAGAAGCAAGGGTTAAACTAGCCAGTAAATTGCCTAAAGGAGCCCAAGCAAAGGGAAAAAGAGACACTGTACTGTAAAAGTCATAGTAAGGTCTTTCCACCCCACCTCATGCTGATGTTGTCAGAATTCTGGATGCCTAGCTGCTTTCCCATTCCATCTGTACTTATAGTGCAGTGGTTTGCAAATGCCCCACCCCCAAATCCTGGATATATTCACAATTCTGCCTGTGTAAAACAAGAGTATTTACACTTCTGAGGCCACCATCCTATGTGGTATTACCAGGGAGTGGCTGAGATCCTGTTGGGTGACTTCTGCCTATGCAATGGGAATGATATCACTGGCAGTGGGAGGCTGCAGCGGCTTCCTTTTGCAATTTTGGGATGCACATGACTTCGTTGCATTGTCTGTAAGCAGCAAACACCCCAAAATTGCAAAAGCCATTAATCAGAGGAAATATGCTGCTGCCAGTATTGTCATTTCCACTTCAGCCAGTTTCTCTAAAAAGAGTAAATATGAGGAAATATGCACATATTATTTTAAATAATAGTGCTCTGGAAAGGTATTTACCCCAGAAGGCAGGCTAAGAATATTTAAATAAAACAAAACAAGAATCTGTCATTTCCATAAATATTATTACAATCAATAATCCAACCACAATCTTTTATAATGAAGTTTATGTGTAAGTTTGGGCTTGATAAAGTAATGCCTACATTTCAGGTTTCTCCAAAATTACAATTTCACCCCTGAAAAATGTGTTTACATGGTTTAAAATTTTATGAAGAGTATACACCTAAAATCAAGTCCCGCTACAGCTAAATGTCTTCCTTCAAATCATCATCTGCAATCATTCAAACCTCCAGAAGGAGAGAGAGCAGCAACCTTAGCACTTTGCTTAAATTCAGCTTTATGACCTGATACGTCACTATCAGCTGCATTTCATACCTAAAAATCCAGCACTCAACTTTGCTGTTTTTCTCTTCCCTTCCAATCCTTCTTTCATTTGTAAAACACTTTATCAACACAATGCCAAAAACAGAAGCATAAAGACTCATTTAGAAGATATATTTGGTTAGAATAATACTCAAGTTGAATGCACACAAAAAGTAGAACATAATACTTACAATGGTTAGCTGCTTATCACTATCTTTTGCTGCTTCTTTTAGTTTCTGAATGTGTTCTTCAGAAGGGAAGTTTCCACACTTTGATGTTAATGAAAGACATGCCCTTTAGTTATAAAAATAAATCATGTGAACAAAATGTTACTTCTATTTCATATATTTCAGTATAAAGTTTGAAATGCTTTCTTAAAAACTTAAATGGAATAAAGGCTCCGTGTATGGAGCATAATTGGAAGGGAACTACCAGTCCTATAATGCCTTGCATCTCTCACAGAGCTTAGTCCCTCCCAGCTACTTCCTCTGTCTTGTTCATTATGAAGAAGCCTTTATTCCTCAGCTGTAAGTGACATAAACACTCAAAGTACTTTGGTGGGTGGTTTTGTTTGTTTATTGCTAAAGCCCTCAGAATTTTGGATAGGGGAAATTCATGCAGACATCTCGGGGATGTAGTTCAAAAAATACCAATATCCCATATCAGAGAATCATAGAATTGTTGTAGGGTTGAAAGGGACCTTGGAGGTCTTCTAGTCCAACCCCCTGCCCAAGGCAGGAGACCTCATACTATCCCTGACCTCATACTATCCCAGACAGATGGCTGCCCAATCTTTTCTTGAAAACCTCCAGCGATGGGGCACCCACAACATTGGGAAGCAAGCTGTTCCACTGCTTAATGGTTCTCACTGGAAGGAAATTCCTCATTTCCAGGTTGGATCTCCCTCTGACGAGTTTCCACCCATTGGTTCTTGTCCTACCCTCAGGCGCAATGGAAAATAAATCGATGCCCACTTCCAGGTGGCAACCCTTCAGATATTGGAAGACTGCTATCATGTCTCCCTTCAGTCTTCTCTTTGTTAAGCTAAACATGCCTAGTTCTTTTAGTTGTTCTTCATAGGAATTAGCCTCCAGTCCCCTTATAATCTTTGTTGCTCCTCTCTGCACCCCTTTCAGGGCCTCAGCATCGTTTTTTATTATGGTGACCAAAACTGGACACAGCACTCCAAGTGCGGCCTCACCAGTGCGGTACAGAGTGGTACAATCAGTTCCCGAGATCTTGATGCTATCCCCCTGTTGATGTAGCCTAGGACTATGTTGGCTTTCTTGGCAGCTGCAGCACACTGCTGACTCATCCTCAGGCGGTGGTCCACCAGGACACCTAAATCCCTCTCACAGGTACTATTGTCAAACCAGGTACCTCATCTCCTGTACCTGTGAATCTGATTTCTCCTGCCTAAGTGCAGGATTTCCAAGTGCAAAGACAGCTTCCACACTCATTGGATAGACTAGGGTTGCCTGCTTACCTTAGACAAGAGTAAGAACTGTTTTCAGGCAACCAAAAACTCAAACTATCTTAGTTAGTCCTTGTAGTATTAAAAGAACATACAGGAGGACCCTCATAGCTGTGGGATCAATATTTGCAATTTCACTTATCTGTGGCCTAAAAATATTAAATATATATATATAAAAAAACCAGAAATATATATTTCCATGATGTACTTACCAGAACTGGCCACCACAGGGAGCCAAATACCATGCTATGGATTGAGGGACCCCCATATACACAGGGGATTGGTTCCAAGCCCCCGTGGACACTGAAAGCTATGGATAATAGCAAACACTATATATAGCATAGTAAAAAAAAGGGGGGAGGAAAAAACATATTTTCAAATATGTTACCAGAACTCACCACTGAGGGCAGTGACCATGTTATGTATTCTTCACTATCAAGTATTCATAGCATGGTGTCTTGCTCCTTCTAGTGGCCAGTTCTGGTAATACATGTTAACAATGTTTTTTTTAGGGTTTTAAAAAATATTTTTTATATTTTCAGATCATAGATAAGTGAAACGATGGATACCGATCCCACAGATACAGAGGTCATACTATATTATGTGCTATCTGCTGCTTTTAGGCATTCACAGGGAAACAGCGAAAAAGAACAGTTTCATGTCATCCTTCTAGAATTCATCCTCCATTTTAAGTAATATCGTTGAGTACTGAGTATAAAGGTGGAATACATTGTTGGTTCCTCCCTTCCTTGCTGGAGAAAGGAACAGAAGAATGCCTCATGCTTTCTTTTCTAAAAAGGAGAACTAGATGCTGGAACAGCACTTGCCAATGTTCTCTGCTTCTTTTCAAGGTTGTTGGGAAAGAAAGAAATCAAACAGTTCTACACAACAACTTCATGACACAATCCCGTTTTAGATAGTGTTGTGTTCTGAAATCTGGCAAAGCAACCCTTCTAAAGCAGCATTGAACAGTTCCATATTTAGTCTTTAATCATTTATTTCCAAGGCAGACTAATTATTAGTATCATTACTACTAGTAGCCAAAAAAAAGAGAGGGTTATTTAATTAAAATGACACATAAATAGAGCCCAGTCAGAAAGAACTTTTTGCCAGGCCTTTTTATCCCTACAATACATTTAGATACAATATCAGCTTTTCAGTTCTCAAAATAAAGCTCTTTATAATCTCAGATATCTGAATTTTAGGGAGGAATTGCCTATAAACATGAGTTTATATGGGACAAAAAGATAATGAACTGAAACTGAAGGTGAGTTTTCAGCCCAAAAATTCAGCATCTAGCCAGATTCCTATATTCAATGAATTACAGTAAAAGCAAATATACAGTGGTGCCTCGCTTAACGATTTTAATTGGTTCAAAAAAACACATCGCTATGGGAAAACATCACTAAGCAAAACACGTTTTCCCATAGAGATGCATTGAAAACCGGGTAATCCATTCCAATAGAAACGGATTGCCATCCTTAAGCGAAAATCACCATAAGAAACATTGCTAAGCGATACAATGTTTCCCCCATTGGAATGCACTGAAGCCTATTCAATGCATTTCAATGGTTTTGTGATGTCCGTTTTCGCTTTTGACAGGTCTGTTTTCGCTATTTTTAAAGTGTCTTAAAATGCTTGAAACCTGTTTTAAATGTTTGGGATTGTTAGTGCACCTTCTAAAACGTGTGCAAACTTAATTTGGCTTTGTTCTGACTCCAATGGGGGAGAAAAAAATTCACCAAAAATTAACAAAGACTCAGAACAAAGCCAAATTAGGTTTGCACATGTTTTACAAGGTGCTCTAACGAACCCAAGCATCTAAAACAGTTTCTGGGTCTTCATTAATTTTTGGTGAATATTTTCTCCTCCATTGGAATGCACTGAAGTGCCCGTTTGACAGCTGTCAAACTTGGGTTCAATGCATTTCAATGGGGGGAAAAATTCACCAAAACTTAACGAAGACTCAGAACAAAGCCAAATTAAGTCTGCACACATTTTATAAGGTGTACTAACAATTCCAAGCATTTAAAACAGTTTTTGAATATTTTAAGACACTTTTAAAATTGCAAAAACGGACATCGTTAAGCGAAACAGGGGACCCAAAATGCATTCGCTATGCGAAGCATGGTCCCGAAATCGCTAAGCAAAAATCGCCCATAGGAAACATCATTAAACGATGCAGAAAATTCTTTTAAAAAACCATCATTACGCAAATACATCGTTAAACGAAGCAATCGCTAAGCGAGGCACCACTGTACTCTTTTAAAAACATACTTGTTTTTACAGTGTTCTTTAGTATGCTTATAAAATGTTTACAGTACAAACAAGACACTAAGCAATGCAACTCTGAAACCTTACAAAATATCATACCTGCTGTCATTTGTCCCTGAGGTTTTATCTGGAAATAGAGTCCGAACCAATTGTTTGGGAGTTGGATCTACAAAGGAAACAAAGATTAATATATTAATAGATGTTTAAGAAACACAGTAGGACCTCCTTATCAACAGGATCTGTATCCACACATTTGCTTATTCACGGACTGAAAATATTAAAAGAAAAAAATCCAGAAAAACTATTTTCAAATGTATGACCAGAGCCAGCCACTAGAGGGAGCCAGAGACTGTACTATGAATACTTGCTAGTGAAGAATACATAATATGGTCTCTGTCACCCTGTAGTTGCCAGTTCTGATCATGCATGTGAAAATATTTTTGTTTATTTTCCTTTTACCATGCTATAGACAGGGCTTGAAAAATGCACTTGCCCACTCATCTGTGACGAGTGGAAAATGCTGCTTAGTGAGTCACAGCTCCTTCCCTGCCTGCCACCTTCCCCTCTGGCTCTCTCTCTCTAATCCTGCAGTCCTCCGTTCCCCATTCCCATTGCAAAAGGAAAACTGCCCTCTTCTCATGAAGAACAGAGCTATAACTCTGGTACACAGAGTTATAGCTCTGCAGGAGAATGTAGAGTAGTCCCATGCTGGAGAATATGGAGATTCCCTGCTCCCAATTTCAACCAAATGAGGACACATCCTGGGGAGGGAGGGAACTGTGGTTCCTTAAGAGGCCAAGTGCTTTTGCTTTCAGTTTCATTTTTGCTGGAGACATTCAAAAGAAAGGCATACAAAATACAAACTTCATGAGCCCACAGGCATGCAGGTAATAAAGCAACCCAAGTCTGAGGGTATAAATGTCACATTCCCAGGGGGTTTCAACAGGCAAAAGTCCAATATCAGAAGTCCAGAAGATACAAAGCAGATACCAAAATGTGAAAGCCAAAACACAAACCGGAGTCAGAAGTCAGAGTCCAAAGCTAAGGATCCAGAGAACAAGGTCCAAGATGAGCAGGAGCGTGGATGCAAGCCAAAGTGCTGACTTTTTGCTTCCACAAGCTTCTAAGCCTTCTAGGTGCAGATTATATAGCAAAAACAGTCATCAGACTCCTAGAAGCCTTCCATCCTGTTAAACTCAGGACTGGTTGACCTGATGTTCCTATGGGAAGCATTCATGCAAGCCTCTGACCTTCGTGTCATGAGTCTTTGCCGAAGCTTAGCCCTCACTCTGGCTACTGGGGAAGGAGAATCTGATGGTGATTCAGCTGTCTGTGCTTCTAATTGCCCAGCGTTTTCCTCAGCTGTAATTAGCCCCTCAGATTCCAGATCTTCTTTGGCTGAACTCATGACAATAAATTAGTGATGCCCAATCTCAATAAATTGCAAGGTTATAGTCCGGTCATGCTGACTAGTGAAATTTTTGACTAACTGGTGAGACATCCTAAAATTTTTCAAGCCCTGGCTATAGATATACAGAATGTTCACTATTATCCATGGATTTCAGTATCCACAGGGGGTTGAAACCAATCTGGAGGGGACATGGAGGTCCTACAGTATATAAGAAACATTACAGTCATATTTGAGCATAAAGGAATGCAGAAAAAAGTAGGTATATATCAATCATTCATTCATGTACAATAGTAAGATTTTACTGCATTTAAAACAGTAAGATTTAAATGCCTGAAATGGATTTTTGGAAAACTTATCTTTGTGAGTAATTGTTTAAATTATCAAATGTTTCTATCTGACCATCAAAAACATTTTACATTTCTTTCTAAAACTGAAAGAGAATCTAGGAATCAAGAATTGTAGCTACTAAATGAAGCAATTTCACTAAACCAAGATGCTCAAACACAGAAAGTCAGATTCACCTAAAAACTTATAGGACATTATTTGAGACAAGCTCAACCAATGGCCTCAAAGTACTAGGTTCTGCCATCCAGTCCTTAAGCAAGGCATCGACTCATAAACGAAAGGAACTTCCTATATGACATTCAATTCAGATAATTTAGGACTATATTGGTTATATACCACAATTTGTACTATGAATTAAGGTGAACAGGATTATTGTGGTCTCTTTGTTTAGGGCACACAGGAAAGAAACAACTATGTGATGAAGCATAGCTCAGTTGTGGAACTCCCATGTAACCATTTGATCATTTGCATCTGCAGATGAAAGCATCTCAGACAACTGAGCTGGGTAGGGCTTTAACTGAGGCTTTGCCAAGACAGTGCAGGTCAGAATATAGAAAACTGAGTAAGTTGCACCTATTATCTAATTTGTAAGGCAACTTCTTGTTGCACAACAAAAAGAAACAAAATTACATCAAAGCAAAATACCCATCAAAGCAACAGCAATTCCAAGTATGACTAAGAATTACCGTATTTTTTGCACCATAAGACGCACTTTTCCCCCCCAAAAAAGAGGGGTAGAAAGTCTATGCGTCTTATGGAGCGAAGGTGGTGACTTCGCCCCCACTGGCCCCGTGGAGGGCAGCATCGCAAGGGTCCGTGGGAGCCTTCCAGGACCCTTGCGACACTCCCCCACCCCCGACGGGGCCAGTGGGGGCGAAATAGCGACCTTCCAAGACCTTTTGAGAGGCTTGAAAGCCTCTCAAAAGGTCCTGGAAGCTGCCGATTCCCCCCCTGCACCCGTGGTGGGGTGGGGGCAGCGTGGCAAGGCTCCTGGAAGGCTCCCTCGGACCCTTGCCACGCTGTCCCCACCCCCCCACGAGCGCAGGGGGGGAATCGCCAGCTTCTGGCGAAATA